CACAGAATAAACGCACACACAGACATCCATGCCCTGAGTGGGATTCGAACCCACGATTTCAGCGTTAGAGCGCGAGAAGACAGTTTGTGGTGGATGAGATGTGGCCAGATCCGTCTGAAGCGGACACGCAACCGATTTCGCTGCGTAAGACCGACCTTAACTTCGGAGCGAATAGCAGAGAAAGTAACATGGAGCTGATGTACCGCGGGAAGCAGGCATTACAGGAGGCTGGACTGAAATTCGTGATGAGGGCCCGCATAATTTGATCGCGCGACCACAAGGCACGTTGCCTCAAACGGTGACGGGGGTTGTCCGAAATGAATCACCTACGGGACACAGACTACCGTGGTTCTTCTCAGTCCCCCCCCCCGACACATGGCGGGATAGGGGCCTACCTCAAACGAGGCGCAGATCTCTTCCTTTCATGTTCATTTTTTACTGTCATCCTATAATTAGACGCTGTAGGCTGGAGTGCTGACTAACTAACTAGCTCTATGGAGCTGAGCCCTTCTTGAAAAGCTGCCAGTTGTGCAGCTACTCGAGAAACCAAAGGTTCGTTACCGTGTTAACAAGAACCCTCCTCCAGTGCCTATCCTGAGCCAGAACAATCAAGTCCATACCACCCTGTCCTAATTCTCTTAAGATCCGTTTTAATAATATCCACCCACCTACATTTTGGTGTTCTTAGGTGGATCTTTCCTTCTGGCTTTCTCACCAATATCATATACGCATTCCTTCTATCCCTCATTCGTGCTGCATTCCATGCCCATCTCACCCTCCTTGATTTGACCATTCTAATTATACTTTGCGAAGAGTACAAGTTATGAAGGCCCTCGTTGTGCTGTTTTCTCCAACCTCCTGTCACTTCATCTCTCTTCGGTCCAAATATTCTCCTCAACACCCTGTTCTCAAACGCTCTCAGTCTGTGTTCCTCCCTTAATGTCAGAGACCAAGTTTCATATCCATACAGAACCACAGGCAAAATTATAGTTTTGTGTTTCCATCTGGGTCAGAGATTTTTTTGTCTACACGGCGTCCAGACCTAATGTGTACCGGAGTTAATTCCCGAAAGTAAAAAGGCCGGGGAAGAACCTGGCGAACTAACTAACTCTGTGGATAAGATCTAAAAGTTTGTGTTGATGGTACAATTATTATGTTTCTGGACCTTATCCATCGTCCAGTTTTATTGAAGACGCTGCGTTTGGGGGACAGAATCCAGTTTCCGAAACTTTGTGTTTTAAATAAAAACAGGACGATGTTTTGAACAGAAGCAGGACGGTGGATAATGTCCAGAAACATAATAATTGTATTAACGCCACGAGGCTGGTATTTCTTGAGAAGCCGCCAGTTGCTCGGATAATGAAGAACTTCCCGTCATTTTACAGGAACCCGAAAATTCGTTATTATATTCACAGAACCCGCCACTGGTTCCATACCATTCCAAACATGAGTGAAGCCGACTACTCATCTTGCTTAATGCCGAGGTCAAGAATTCATGGGGCTCTACGTCCACAAGAGTAAGTTTCGATGACGTGTTTAATTAAGCACATGGAAAGCTATCTATCTATCTATCTATCTATCTATCTATCTATCTATCTATCTATCTATCTATATCTATCTATTTTTCAGCTTCTTAATCTTTTTGCACAGTCTGTAGTACTCCTTGGACGGAGGATCAGCCCGTCGCAAGGTCGCTGCCTGAACACGGGACAACACAAACACAGAATAAACGCACGCAGACATACGTGTCTCAACTGGGATTCGAACCAAAGATCACGGTGTCTCGGCGGGAGAAAACGTTTCCTGCCTGACACCGCGCGGCTACTGCGATCGACTACAAGGAAAAGTAGACCCCTTAAATAAAGGCCTCTTGAAATATTACTCACTTCTGTCCCCATATGAGGCCGCCTTGCACGACGGCGCAGTTAAACAGGCCCTAACCAAGGCAACAGCAACAGATCTCAACTGAGATGATCCCTTTTTATTGAGAATACCTGCTTTATGGGTTATTATGATAGCGGTCCCGGCCGGCTGTTCCCCGGGCTTGCGCGCAAACTCTGTTATGTGTTTACAGAAACGTGACTTTTTGAGCTGCTTTTTATTTTTGGTAATATATTTCTCTTCCTGCGGATTTTATGAGGAGAGACTTTAATAACGGAATACGCAGTAAGGTTAGGATTTCTGTAGCTACTTGAAAAAGAAGAGAGATAAAAACAAAAGTAAGGAGCAGAGTCGCCACAGTTTAATAAATGAAACAAAGCGGCCGCATGAGATGAATTTCTTCGCTTAGACCTCTCTACCCGCATCTAGCGGCGTGACGTCACATTGGTTTGGGGTTCCTGCGAAGGAATTGGGCGAAATCTGTCTATTTTCTGTTCCCCACAGGTGACTGGATTAGATCGAGTAGTATGGCATGAACTGTCTTAGCTCACTCGAACGCTAAGATCGTGGGTTCGAATCCTACTCAAAGTATAGGTGTATGTGTGCGTTTATTCTGCGCTTCTGTTGTCCTGTGTGTAGGAGTGGCCTTGCAATTGTTTGATCACTTGTCCAAGGAGTCCTACCGTCTGTGCAAGAGTCTCTCTAAAGAGATTTCGAAACTGAAGAAGAGGCCTGGACCCAACAGGTTTACAGACCCATTGATAGATGGGTGGGTGGAAGGACGGACGGAGAGACAGACAGACATATATATTATAATATTTGCGTTGTGAGTCGCTACAACAATGTAACACACCTTACCGCAAAAAGTGGCACAGTGACGATAGTTTTACTGAGAAAATGCCGTATGTAAGCCGCGGGCGAATGTCCCTTGTGCTGCATCCGCTTGTCTTTGTTTCTGTTGCGAGTGTGACGCTGTTGCATCAGCGGCAGGATTGGTCGAAGAAGATGAATTCTTGAAGACGTTAAGATTTATAGAAATTTTACAGTGAGCAGTGCTTCGTGTCACTCAGCAAGTTAGTTCATGCAGTGACAATTGCGTGGCATGGAGGTTCGTGGTTCAAGTCTGTCTCGTGGTACTGGCTAAATTAGCTTAGGCTTTTCATGACTTTTCTCAGCCCCTATAATCAAATTCAGTGGGAATTCTTTGCGAAATTCGAAATGAAGATTTGCTTTCGCGTTCTGTACAATCCAATATTTGCTGCGAACCAACAATTCGACGCCGCACAGACGGGCTAATTTGACGGCGTGGCTAAATTAGCTGAAAATAAATCAAATGCTTCCGCCCGTTTGAACGCAATAGTAGGGGGTTTATATATTGTGAATCATTCAGTGCAATTTCTTTTTTATGAGAGTCCTTTGTGGCAACGCTGTAAATACTGGTCGGCGTTAGTAATATACAGAGCCCGCATCTGCCTACTGCAGTAACATATAGATGCGTCATTCTGTGAAAATCAATTATAGACAATTACATATTAATTTAGAACGCATCCTCTGTGGGGAATGATTACTGTTCTCACAGTGTATGAAATTCATACGGGCTGCAAGTTGAGGAAGTTACTGGCAAAAGTAATCAATATTAATGTACTGCATTCATTCATGGCTCTACAGCCCTTTGTTGGGCCCCATTTTTCTCTCTTTTTTAGATTCTTAATCCTATCCACATTTGATAGGACTCCTTTGACGAACGATCAGCCCATCGCAAAGGCCGCTACCTACGCACACAGACATCCATGCTCAAGACCGCAGCGTTCGGCGGGCGAAGGCCGTTCATGCCTGAGACTGCGCAGTCACTCTGATGGCTGATGTACTGAATACCTTTCGCAAAACACAGCAGATTTTTACATATTCCTTATTAGATGGGGTCTCAAGTTTTTTACGTCGCAGATCGGTGAAACTGCAAGTGGTTCTACCAAGCACCAGTCCCACGTTATATATTCATAGCAAAATAAATGATTACGTTTATAGTAAAAGGCTGTAGATGTGTGCAGTGACCAGGTACACGTCACAGGGTGTTCACTGCTAGGAGTTATACATGACGCGTTCTTACCGCCCTTGATCTTCAAATCCTTTCGTACATAAAATTAAATAGTGTAACGGAGAGATGAAAGCTCTGAAATTACTCAGCTTTGGGTTACTATAGCAACAAGCTAATAAAGCGTCAACACAATGCATGAATGTCAATTATGGAGCGGGTCACGAAAGAACGAGCAGTTATTTGTTTGTGTGTCGTGTGTATTCTATGAGCATTTATAATAATAGTTTGATGCTGATATATGAAGTGTCGAAAAACCATGCTTTTGAAGCACCTCTAAACCAATTTCTGCTCTATAAATGAAATGGTTTCTTATTATCTGTGCGTGTTATTCGTGGGAGATAGGCTTAAACGTCAGTTTTGACGTATAATTCGGTAACATGTGCGACGGAAGTGACGTAACAGGAAAGTTAATAGCACGAAATTTATATGAGAAACGGTTGTTATGCCAGGTAAAAGGTTAAAATGTCCCTGTGTTTAACTAATTAAGCATTAGGCCATGAAAGCGTATGGGGGCGTGGGTGTATAGGTCCACATTTTCTTGATCTCGACATTTGTTGGATGTGAATGTTCAGATTCACGTCCTGCCGCGTTATGTCCGGGGAAATACCCGCGGTACCCGTTCGCTAGGGGGTTGGGTGGACCCCAGAGCCAGTCTGGACGCTGCTGATTTATGCCAGGAACTTAACAAGAAACGGACGTGAAATTCTGTAATTCCGAAATTGCTTTATTTTAGATAAACCAGATACTAAGAACTGCGAGGAATGCGCCGTCATAATAAAGAGCTACTGAATTCACGTGGAGCCACTCTACTGTTGCCTGATGCTCATACAAATGGGTGAGCAGTCAGTGTGAAGGCCTCTCTGTTCGGCGCACTGGTAAAGCGATGGACAAGTGTATCAATGTGGGTGGAGGCTACGTCGAGAAACGAATGTTTCTTATTTCCCAGGTTCGAGTATCACATGTTTTACGTCTATTATCCTTTTGTGACCTATTTACTGAGTCTCCCTTGTGTTTATTGTTGCAGATGTGCTTGTATGAAAGAGCATGATTCTACGTCAGCTCGTGTCCGACAGCAGCTGCTGAGGTAAGAAAAATGCTAATTATCTACATTTGTGGTATAGACATTCATAAATCAATAACTGCCAATATTGTGTGTACGTATATGCATCTTGAGACATTTCCTGAAGTCAGATTGCTTGCAGGCCTCTTCTGAAACATCTGTTTTGTCATATAGTGACTCCAGTAATACTGTGTAGTGTAGTGTAACCGTTTAAAAGTGGTACCCTACTCTTACAAAGACAAAGCGGGAGAAGTCATGGGGGCTGGGGGAGGGGCATGGGAAGCCTGGGCTGGGGTACCTTAGTTTTGTAAATTGAATTTAAGCAGAACCATAACAGTGCTCACTAGCCTGGGAGTCCATGAAAAATATAGTTATTTGGTTTTGCACAATCAGTCTTCTTGAAGCAATGGAGCCAAGGACAGCGGAATTCTCATTTTAATAATAATAGAAAAGAAGTTTGGGGCCCTACAGAGCAAGTATTTAAATTCAGATTAATTTAAATGTGGTGGGCTGCACGAGAAACACACAGTAACAACTTCGAAATTGGGGTTACCTCGGTGTTTGCATGAAGGCAGAATGAAATTAAGAAAACGTGTCTCGAGACGGCCAATTCCAGGACCTCCTTTATTAATAATGTGGCATTCCTGCTATCCAGGGTCCTTGATGTATGTTGGTGGATAATATTAAATGGATCTTAGAAAGATACGTGGTATAGATTTGTTTGATCTGGCTGATACGGACCAGTGGAGGGATCTTGTGAACACGGCAATGAACTTTCGGTTTCCAAACAATGTTAGGAAATTCTTGAGTAGTTTGTAAAACTGGCGGCTTCTCAAGATGGGCTTTTCTTCATGAAGTTAGTTAGTGTTAACATTACACTGTTCGCCATGGAAAAACATGCACTGCATTGTGCAGAAAGCAGAATCAAATGGGGGGACATGCGTGCTGTAGGCCTACTCTGAACTTCATCTGTCTATGTACAGTGTGTGTTCCACGGTTAGTTTCAGCAGTTCTCAGTATATGGAGCTGTTAACACATACCGGGAACGCGTACTTAACTTCATACTGAGTTTACTTGTTGTGTGTTTAACGATGGTCTCAGTATTTTACGCTCTGTGGCATCGACTGACAGCATGATACTGACTCACGAATTGGAACGGACGTGGCGGAGAAAGATAGCGGTTTATTTTGGGTTAGGCCTACTGCTCCGGCATTCAACTGGAGGGACTGAGAAAATGGAGAGCACCTTAGGATATTTGGTGTCCCGGCCGAGGTTCAAACCTGGCAATTCCTCGTTAAGACTCAAGAACATTACCTCTGAGCCAGTTTGAGCGTCGTGCCATGAAATAAAGTGCGTCACAAAATTGGGCAGGTTTTCCGTACAGCCATTTCTTGGAGTTCTAATACAGGGTATTCCAGGAAGAAAAGTCAACATTCTGGGAGATAATAGTCGGTTATTCTAAGCAAAAAAGTGTATATGTTCATGTGTCCTACTCCAAACAGTTTCCGAGATAGAGCTATTTCACTGCACAGTTCCAAAACTGTTGATAAGAAAGCGATATTACGTACTGTCCCTCTTGTTCAAGTGACGAAGTACGTACAGTTTACCTAGTATAATACGAATTCATTTTCGAAAATTCACCGTCAACATCAATGCACTTTGCAACTCGTGTGAGGACATGGCGTGTTGCTCGTCTGTACAGTCGTACAGTGTAACTGCGCAGTGAAATAGCTCTATCTGGGAAACCGTTCGGAATAGCACACATGTAGAATGACCCTAGACTAGGACCTCCCAGAATACTGACCTCTCCTCCGGGAACACTCTGTATAACTCAGTTTGCTGTCCGCTTGAAAGCCCGTCTCTAATTGTATAAGTGCAGAGTGTATTGCGTTATGAGCTATGTCCAGTGTTGTGCCATTAAGGAGCACTGCCTTCACCAGCCCTTAGGGTGGTAATCATTTCCTAGAAAACGGACGATGGGATTGGCGAACTTCATGGAGCTGAACCCTTCTCGAGATGTCGCAAATTTTGCAGGTACTCAACTTTCCAGCACTTTATGGAACCCGAAGGTTCATTACCGTCTTCCACAGGCCCCTGTCCTGAGTCAGGTCGATCCAATTCATACAACATAATAACTTTCTAAGATCCATTTTAATATTGTCCACTCGCCTACGTCTTGGTCTTCCTAGTGGTTCTTTCCTTCTGGCTTTCCCATCAATGTGCCATATGGAATTTTCTGCTCCCCTATTAATGAAGGTGTTACGTTATTTTGTCTTATACTTATTCTTTGTTTGTTTCTGTTGTCTTTGTTCGCATTCACGACAGGCAACGATTTGACTTTATTGCGGAAGAGCGAGATTCTTATCTCGCCCGTTATACCTCCCCTCGTGGCATATGCTAAAATAGTACATTAAAATAGGCCACGACATTCTCATTCTTACCAAATCATTCACTGCCATCATATTGTTCAACATTTTTTAGCACCAGGTACCAATGGCGTTGCTGAATGAACCAACCATTCCACGGTTCCCCATTCAGAGCAACATAATGAAGCCATCTATGTAGAAGTGATATAGATGACTGTGCAACATAGAGTTACATTACGACTGGCGGTTTACCGCCCATCAGTTCGTCTTGGCGACAAGCCCCTTGATACTCACGACCAATAACGTTTTCTTCAACTGAACTCTTGCAGTTGTAGTCTTTATGTAACATCACCCTGACGAGAAGATGAATCTATCGTTTACAATTGTTGCTGGTCCTCGCCAGCGCAGTCATTCTCAGGTTCGAGTCCAGCCGGACTCATGACCCTATTTTACTGTCTCAGATTCGAGACTCCCCCAACCTGGAGGGCAGGTCCCCGTATTTATATCCCACAGGAACAGGGTGGCCCGATTATACCCCTAGTCACTGGGTTTGCACTCCACTAACCTGTGCAACATGCATAATTTCATGGGAAATGTGGTGTGCCATACCACGAAATGAAGTTGGTTACGTCACGGCTATTTCTTCCAGTTATTTGCCCCTTCGTAGACAGTCCTGCGTAGAGCATAGCGTTATGATTTCCGTTTTTTTTTTATTTTTGCTTATTATTAGTGTGGTGAGACTGGCCTACTGTACCAGCCCCAGATGATAGGTGAGGGTGACTGGAGCAGTTGGTGGAATGAATATTTGCAGGGGAAACTGAAGTACTCGGAGAAAAACTGTCCCAGTGCCACTTTGTCCGCCACAAATCCACAAATCCCACATGACCTGATCAGGGTTCCAATCCGAAGGGCTCCATCCTGGGCTATGACACAGCAGACGATTCCAACTGAGTGACGTAGCCTGTCCTATTCCCTGTGTCAGTTGCTCTGGTATAGGTATTTCCTTTCTGCTAAGTTGAACGAAGTCGTAAGGAAGAACATTCAGTACGGAGTGAGAGGAGAAAAAGAAGAGATAAGTACATTTAGGTCTCTTTAACAGTTTTCTAGTTCCTATCCGCGTTGCGGTTTGCCTCTCCCCTTCCCCTCCACAGTGTGCCCTGTGCCGTGAGTGTCCGAAGGTGCTCCTCACATCTGCCACTGGTGGCTTTTATTCTGAAATTCCTCGCGACAGGAAAGCAGACAGTACTTGCGAGGGCGGTACGGGGCGCGGCCATATTGCAGACAAACAAAAAGTTACAGCACTAATAGCATTAGAGGTTTGTTTTGAAGAAGGGCTCAGTTACGTAACGACTCAGATATGAGCGCAGGTACGGGGGTGGGTTACTAGGCAGCTGCCTCCCCATCCTGCATGTTTGGTACAAATAAGAGAAATATCTGATAAATTTAACTCTGTGATTAATTAATTAAGCCGTGTGCCATGAAGACATGTGGGAGTAGAGGCATAGCTCTGCTATTCTTGACACGGCACTAAATCGAGGTGAGTGGTCAGTTTCACGCCCTGGCCACTCTATCCCTGGAAAAGGGCTTCCAGTATCATTCGGACAGGACAGTGTGTGTGGGACATGGTCTGGTTACTGTGGAATAGAGAAAACTTTGAAAACATAAGGAAATATATAGGATATTAACAACAGAGGATCAGGAACAAAGTCTGTGGTGTCATTTGTTTTCAGCAATCGGACCCACGGCTCTACTGTTATCTGTAAGAAATTTCTTAAATAATATAAACGTACAAGAGAGAGTCAGTAAATAGGTTCACAAATGGAAGCAAAATAACTGTGGTGGACGTAGTAGGTTTCCTGTATGTATCACTAGGTAGCAGCACAGTTCAGCTTCATGACAGTCTAGCTAGAAGACGCGCATGCGCAAGTTCAGAGGCTGGTTTCAGTAGTCAAAATGAGGACCGCGCTTGATGAGTTTAATGCCGAAGAGCAACTTTCTGTTGTGCTTTTTTTTCTTGACAAAAAGACTCTGTTTGCGGTGGGAAGTGTTTGTCGCGCAAAGCGGTTCGCAACTGGATCCAGAAGTTCTCATAAGGACGTTCGAAAGTCGCAGATGATGCCCGACCGGGTGCGGAAGTGCCTGAGACAACAGTCAGAAGACTTCTGTGTGCTGGTTCCTGCGCACTGGTAAAGCGATGGGACAGGTTTATCAGTGTTGATGGGGAATATGTCGAGAAATTGATGTTTTTTCCAGGTTCGAACATCACAAGTTTTACGTTTTCTGTCAGTTTGTGACCTATTCATTGACTCTTCCTAATAGTACAGGTCTTAATTCCTTCCGCGATATGTACGTTTATTATTTTTTTCCGCTGGATTCTACCAAATGCTGACTTCAAACATTAAAGTGTAAACACGTTTCGAATAATTAGCGTCATACTACAGGTGGACGCCCATGGACACAGTTGATACCTTCCGGTCTTTATGTTTCTTGCCTACATGTCTGCACGGGGCTGTCCCTAGCTCAAATTAGTGGATAATAGAAAATATTGAATTGGAAAGCATGTGGAAGTACAGACCGAGGCTTCTTTTAGGACACTGTTCATACACTTGCCTGGAGAGAGTGAGGAAGACAACTAAAACTTCATTCATGACAATCGGC